TACCAATACGTTAGTTTACAAACACGGAACATTTATTTAATGGTAAAAGAAACAGACAAGGGTTTACCCTGTGTCACGTTGCCCATTAGGATCATCGAGAGCTTTTACAAAAACCTCATAAAACATTCACATTTTCTGCGTCCAGAGTTTTTCCGTGTTGGGAGGTTTCTCAGAGTTCATTAAACACACTTGTAAATATTCTCTGCTTCAGCCATCCGTGTAACATGCAAAATTAAACCACTTTTCCCATTTGCAAACTAACTGTAAGATAATAATACCAGTTCAGAACCCAAATGTAAGAAAAGCGAGTCCCTAATCCAATCTCCGAGTCCACAAGGAAATTCTGCTTTCAAATCTGCCAATTTTACACTTGCTCTAGCTTCCAATTTCAATTCATTTGGGTTCCCATGTTTCCCCGACCACAAACCAAGGATAAATTGAGTCTTAAGCCATCTCATCATTACGACGTACTGACAGCAAAATGGGGATTTGGCTTCCGCTAGACGGATCCTAGTCGTCCCACGCCAAGCTTATCATACACTGAGCAGATTGGACACTTGCCTCGGAACTAGTTTCTTATTGGCCTATAAAGTTGTTAAACATTTCCTTTTCTAAATGATCTATAGGAGATAGTATTTCAATCCACGAGTGTTTCTTCTAGTGGAAAACTGAACGGATCATTCAACTGCTCCGCAAAATGATTCACCCGTTGTAAACCACTCTAAGAATATAATGACCGGTGTCTGCATGGTTTATGCCCTTCTAGATTCTAGCAGGTAGAAACGGAATTTAAAAATGATCAGGATCAGTGAAAAGTATCAGAAGAAATGTTTTTAAGATCATATAACAATTTACAAAGTGTTTCACGCGTGGAGATATTTAGATCTGATATGCTGTTACGTTGTATTACATTCAATTTAAAGAAAGAATTTATAGCAACACTTCCTTTTCTTCCTGTAGTTATTACTTGTGTATAACTCTCATATAAAAATATTGCATTACAGGGACATTCTGCACAGTGGCACGTGGGATACATTAATAAATAGTCAAATCTACCACCTGCCGCCATGTGGCATTTTCAATGTGTCCTGTATTTAAAGATGCTCGTATTTCAATACACTAAAGCCTATATGTAAGCAGTTTATGTAGTTTCCAATACATTTCTGTGAAATTTGGCAAGTCAGCTGGAAACACTACATGCACAGTGGGCCAAGGCTTTTGGTATTCTTATAGCTGCAAACCGCTGCTGGCATTAAAGGGAAACTGTAGCCACTATAACCACTTTATCTCATTGAAGTGGTTATAGTGCCTGCAGTCCCCTGGCGCTGTCCCTCCATTCAGTGTTAAACCATTCCATATCATTGAAGTGGTTATAGTTCCTGGAGTCCCCTGACGCTGTCCCTCCATTCAGTGTTAAACCATTCCATCTCATTGAAGTGGTTATAGTGCCTGGAGTCCCCTGACGCTGTCCCTCCATTCAGTGTTAAACCATTCTCTCTCATTGAAGTGGTTATAGTGCCTAGAGTCCCCTGGCTCTGTCCCTCCATTCAGTGTTAAACCATTCCATCTCATTGAAGTGGTAATGGTGTCTGGAGTCCCCTGGCTCTGTCCCTCCATTCAGTGTTAAACCATTCCATCTCATTGAAGAGGTTATAGTGCCTGGAGTCCCCTGACACTGTCTCTCCATTTCATTTTAAATTATTTTTGAGCAGTTTAACACTGAATGAGGGCCCCTGGCTTATCATAGCTCTGCCCCCACTGGAGTTGTGGCTAAGGCAGAGATTACACACTTCCTTCTAGCCATATCAATTCATATCAGCAATGGGAGCTGTGATAGACTGAAAGCGATCAGCTAACACACTCAGCCAATCACAGTCATCCATTGCTGTTTAGGTTAATGCTGATATGAGAGGATGGGCTGCTGGGGACCCTTGATTAACATTAAAACATAAAAAAACAGTTTAATCCTAAATGGAACACCAGCGCCAAGGGACCAGGGGCGCAAGCTGAGGAGTGGCACAAAAATCTGTTGTAAGGTTGAGCAGTGATTTTTGCGCCCTCTCTTCGGCCAGCGCCCCCAGCTCCATTTACAAGAAAGGTAATAGGGAGGAGTCGGTCAACAATAGGCCAGTAAGCCTTACTTCAGTAGTGGGGAAAGTGATGGAAACCATGTTAAAGGATAGGATTGATGAACATCTAAAAACACATGGATTTCAAGATCAGAGACAACATGGGTTTACTTCAGGGAGATCATGCCAAACTAATCTTATTGATTTTTTGATTGGGTAACTAAAATTATAGATCAGGGTGGTGCAGTAGACATTGCTTACCTAGATTTCAGTAAGGCTTTTGACACTGTTGCACATAGAAGGCTTATCAATAAACTGCAATCTTTAAGTTTGGATTCCAATATTGTTGAATGGGTAAGGCAGTGGCTGAGTGACAGGCAACAGAGGGTTGTAGTTAATGGAATATATTCGAAGCTTGGACTTGTCACCAGTGGGGTACCTCAGGGATCTGTACTTGGACCCATTCTCTTTAATATTTTTATTAGTGATATTGCAGAAGGTCTTGATGGTAAGGCATGTCTTTTTGCTGATGATACTAAGATATGTAACAGGGTTGATGTTCCAGGAGGGATAAACCAAATGACAAATGATTTAGGTAAACTAGAAAAATGGTCAGAATTGTGGAAACTGACATTTAATGTGGATAAGTGCAAGATAATGCATCTTGGACGTAAAAATCCAAGGGCAGAGTACAGAATATTTGATAGAGTCCTAACCTCAACATATGAGGAAAGGGATTTAGGGGTGATTATTTCTGATGACTTAAAGGTAGGCAGACAATGTAATAGCAGGAAATGCTGGCAGAATGCTTGGTTGTATAGGGAGAGGTATTAGCAGTAGAAAGAGGGAAGTGCTCATGCCATTGTACAGAACACTGGTGAGACCTCACTTGGAGTATTGTACACAGTACTGGAGACCGTATCTTCAGAAGGATATTGATACCTTAGAGAGGGTTCAGAGAAGGGCTACTAAACTGGTTCATGGATTGCGGGATAAAACTTACCAGGAAAGGTTAAAGGATCTTAACATGTATAGCTTGGAGGAAAGACGAGACAGGGGGGATATGATAGAAACATTTAAATATATAAAGGGAATCAACACAGTAAAGGAGGAGACTATATTTAAAAGAAGAAAAACTACCACAACAAGAGGACATAGTCTTAAATTAGAGGGACAAAGGTTTAAAAATAATATCAGGAAGTATTACTGTTACGGCACCCTCAGCATAAAAGGGTTAAACCGCCGTTTAGTAGATCTTCCCCTTCCAGAGATGCAGGCACAGCTACTGCAGAACACCAATCCGCCGAACAGGAAACCATGGAATGCTGTAAACAGCCGAATAGGAAAAACCATACGAATAGGTTTACACTCCTAGCAGTTGAACTGGAACAGCATACAATAAATCCCCCCAAGAACGAGACAAAGCTCCGTGTTGAGGGTCAAGCAGTGAACAGACAGAGCTGTGGGTTTATTGTTCTTATGACACATTCTTACACATTAGTACCACCCACAGGGTTTTGGAACACAACCAATAAACACATACAATACACTCAGACACTCCCACACAAATTCCTCCCCTCTGCATGTGATTCAATTACCTTACACAATGGGTAATGTAATTTAGCACAAGCAGAGAAATACAATTTTTCCACATTATTCATAACTTGAAAAGTATGCATCACATTCACATAACATTTTCAGAATCAGCATACTCCAAATACAAACATACGTCAAATCATACAAATTGGTCCAATGGTTCAAAAGATAGATCATAGTCCTTTGTGACCACAGGAAGCATGGCTTTTCTGCCCAAAACCAGTTCCACAGAGTCTTCTATCCTGGAGATAATTGGGAAGTAATCCAATTATCTCCAAAGACAGAGGCAAAACTCCATTGAACACATGGCAGCAAAAAGACAGTAAAATACAATAAAATACACAAGGTTACATTTATGACATAAAATACAGACATGCAACATATCCCAGATAGCTTAGGTCTGAAGCGCACATTATTACTGAATGGCGCTCAGAGCACACACATACAGTTCAATTGCCATGGAGCCAAAGTCTTTCCCATAGTCTTTCATTATACGAATGGGCTCCATGGCATAGCTATCTGGGGTATCACTGCTCAAACAGGGCAAGCACCAAATGACCCGGCTTTCATGTCTTTGCAGGGGAAAATCAAGCCTTTTAACATGGGGCCATAGTCTAAAGGCAGCAGGCGAGCAACCAGGCTTCTCCAATGTGTGGCGAGATTGGTCTCGGCCACAATTACTTTACTGAGAGGGTAGTGGATGTATGGAATAGCCTTCCAGCTGAAGTGGTAGAGGTTAACACAGTGAAGGAGTTTAAGCATGCGTGGGATAGGCATAAGGCTATCCTAACTATAAGATAAGGCTAGGGACTAATGAAAGTATTTAGAAAATTGGGCAGACTAGATGGGACGAATGGTTCTTATCTGCCGTCACATTCTATGCTTCTATGTTTCAATAAGGGAACTGCACGCACAGAACACGAGGGTAGCACCTCCTCCTTGCTTTCTGTGTAGGAGCGCCGGGTGTCACGTGACTTCCCGGGGCTCGCTTGACAGAGACCCAGCACGCGCCGCACCGGACATTGGGCACACCCCTCCCCTGCTATGACAGGCAAAATGGCAGGGAGGTGGTCATCAATCTTCAACTTGGTAAGTGAATTTTTTTTAAAGTGCTCAAAAACACTTACCCTCTATGTCTCACTTAAAGGGACACTATAGTCACCTGAACAACTTTAGCTTAATGAAGCAGTTTTGGTGTATAGAACATGCCCCTGCAGCCTCACTGCTCAATCCTCTGCCATTTAGGAGATAAATCCCTTTGTTTATGAACCCTAGTCACACCTCCCTGCATGTGACTTGCACAGCCTTCCATAAACACTTCCTGTAAAGAGAGCCCTATTTAGGCTTTCTTTATTGCAAGTTCTGTTTAATTAAGATTTTCTTATCCCCTGCCATGTTAATAGCTTGCTAGACCCTGCAAGAGCCTCCTGTATGTGATTAAAGTTCAATTTAGAGATTGAGATACAATTATTTAAGGTAAATTACATCTATTTGAAAGTGAAACCAGTTTTTTTTTTTTTTTTTTCATGCAGGCTCTGTCAATCATAGCCAGGGGAGGTGTGGCTAGGGCTGCATAAACAGAAACAAAGTGATTTAACTCCTAAATGACAGTGAATTGAGCAGTGAAATTGCAGGGGAATGATCTATACACTAAAACTGCTTTATTTAGCTAAAGTAATTTAGGTGACTATAGTGTTCCTTTAAGTATAATGTACATATGGAAAAAACAGAAAAAAATATATACAAATAATTGTGCAGTATATTAAGTAACGTGGCAAGAGGTTTTGTGAGTTACAAATGTATATAAACTACAATTTCTTGAGCCTTTTCTAGTTTTAAGGCTCTAAACTTCCAGGCGTCTGTGTCTTTTAGGGTAGATCACACGACCCCTCTCTCCAAGGAAAAGTGCGGATGTTCCTCTCCACAACGTATGCAAAAGACACAGATATTTCAATCTAAGTGTAGCATCCTAGATAATGATTGTATCCATTTAGATAAAATTGAAATGCTCACCTTTTTTAGAGCCTTTTGGTAACTGGCTCTAAGTGTGTAAACCTAGTGTCAATTTATGGGGTGACACTGCCCCTTCCCTGGAATCACTTATGCAGGATACAGTTGAATGAATAAAAATGAAAAAAATGTATTACAGAAAAAAATATAGAAAAAAAATATTAAGTATTATAAAAATATTTTCTAGAAAATAAAAAACAATATTGACATTTAAAAACAGTACAGTACAGTTATATTAGTGGTCTAAATATAGGTCCACTTCAAGCTAAAACGCGTTTCGCCGGTAAAAAAATGGCTTCCTCAGTCAGCTTAAGAGAGTCCTCTGAATCCTCAGTCTTTTACATTTTCAATGAGAAGAGATTTGGATGGAAGGGGTAGATTGACATGGGGAGAGATATGGATGGAAGGGGGAGATTGACATGGGAAAAGACATGGATGGAAGGGGGAGATTGACATTGGAAAAGATATGGATGGAAGGGTGAGATTGACATGGGGAGAGATATGGATGGAAGGGGGAGATTGACATGGGGTAGAGCTATGGATGGAAGGGGGAGATTTACATGGGGAGAGATATGGATGGAAGGGGGAGATTGACATGGGAAGAGATATGGATGGAAGGGGGAGATTGACATGGGGAGAGATATGGATGGAAGGGGGAGATTGACATGGGGAGAGATATGGATGGAAGGGGGAGATTGACATGGGAAAAGATATGGATGGAAGGGGGAGATTGACATGGGAAGAGATATGGATGGAAGGGGGAGATTGACATGGGGAGAGCTATGGATGAAAGGGGGAGATTGACATGGAGAAGAGATATGGATGGAAGGGGGAGATTGACATGGGGAGAGCTATGGATGGAAGGGGGAGATTGACATGGAGGAGAGATATGGATGACGGGGGAGATTGACATGGGGAAGAGATATGGATGGAAGGGGGAGATTGACAGGGGGAGAGATATGGATGGAAGGGGGGAGATTGACATGGGGAGAGATATGGATGGAAGGGGGAGATAGACATGGGGAGAGATATGGATGGAAGAGGGAGATTGACATGGGGAAGAGATATGGATGGAAGGGGGAGATTGACATGGGGGAGAGCTATAGATGGAAGGGGGAGATTGACATGGGAAGAGATATGGATGGAAGGGGGAGATTGACATGGGGGAGAGCTATAGATGGAAGGGGGTGATTGACATGGGAAGAGATATGGATGGAAGGGGGAGATTGACATGGGGGAGAGCTATAGATGGAAGGGGAAGATTGACATGGGAAGAGATATGGATGGAAGGGGGAGATTGACATGGGGAGAGATATGGATGGAAGGGGGATATTGACATGGGGAGAGATATGGATGGAAGGGGGAGATTGACATGGGGAGAGATATGGATGGAAGGGAGGTGAGACCTAAGGTGTGACACCTACCTGTCTGAGACTGCAGTTTGCGTAGGGACTGAGGGAGCGAGCAGAGAGGACATCCAGGCCGTGACATTTCTACTGAGACCATAAGTAACGAATGGAAACTTTTGAGTAAATGCTGTGTGTGTCCAGGATTAAATATTGAACGCATGAGAATGAAACAAGTAATTTTAGTTTGTGTTGCTCTCAGATTTACTAAAAGGTCACATGCAGCACAGATAACCAGTTACATGATTCTATCTACTCATCAGGGGTTATTACTACCACACAAAGAAACACACAGTCCCACCATACACAGCCAGCCCAAAACCATCACAAACACAAGCAATCCCCATCACACACAGACCACACAAAATAGATCACACAAAGCCAGCCCTATGCTAACACACAGTATCCATCACATGTACACAGCTCTATACCTTCAAACACAAACTATTCCTACCAAATACATCACAGGCAGTCCCCATTACAGTCAGACACCCCAATACATCACATGCAGTCCCCATTACAGTCAGACACCCCAATACATCACAAGCAATCCACGTTACAGTCAGACACCCCAATACATCACATGCAGTCCCCATTACAGTCAGACACCCCAATACATCACATGCAGTCCCCATTACAGTCAGACACCCCAATACATCACATGCAGTCCCCATTACACCCAGAAACCCCAATACATCACATGCAGTCCCCATTACAGTCAGACACCCCAATACATCACAAGCAATCCACGTTACAGTCAGACACCCCAATACATCACATGCAGTCCCCATTACAGTCAGACACCCCAATACATCACATGCAGTCCCCATTACACCCAGAAACCCCAATACATCACATGCAGTCCCCAATATACTCAGACAGTCTGAGGTTATCGGTCACAACCAAGATATTTGTTAGTTATGAAAAAAAATGTAGTGACCCTAGTAAAGACTCCTGTTTGTAATATGGTGCAGGGCCGGACTGTGAGATGCGGCCACAAGAATGTGAGAGAGCAGTCCCTCAGCCAATTTGATGCTGAATCTCAGATCCGGCATCTTTTACGCTGTGTGAAATCCTAGGGCAAATCCTGTAAGTGCAATCTCAGTGTTCGGTCATCACTGATGGCATCATTGACCCTAGAAAATCAAAACTACAGGAATGCATCCAATCTCTTCCATTTTATTCACGTCGTTTATTACACTATAAAAAGTCTAGAAAAATTGAAACATCAAAAGAAAATAGTTAAAGAAACCCTAGTTCAGCATGTCAGAACGCTGTCATTTAATGAAGGAGTGTATTATGAATTCTTACTTAAACAATTTATATCCACTTATCTACAGATTAAGCATTAACCACTTCATTGCAATGGTTATAGTGTCTGGAGTCCCCTGCAGAGGCGTACTTGGGGTCTCTAGGGCGATTGGCGAGGACCTCTACCGGCGCCCTCCCCCCCCCAAAATCATGAAAAATACACGGACAGTACAGATACACAGACAGTACAGATACACGGACAGTACAGATACACAGACAGTACAGATACACGGACAGTTCACATACACGGACAGTACACATACACAGACAGTACACATACACGGACAGTACACATACACGGACAGTACAGATACACAGACAGTAATCATACACAGACAGTACACATACACGGACAGTACAGATACACGGACAGTACAGATACACAGACAGTACAGATACACGGACAGTACACATACACGGACAGTACACATACACGGACAGTACAGATACACAGACAGTACACATACATAGACAGTACACATACACGGACAGTACACATACACAGATACACAGACAGTACACATACATAGACAGTACACATACACGGACAGTACACATACACACAGTACAGTACACATACACAGACAGTACAGTACACAGACAGTACACATACACGGACAGTACAGATACACAGACAGTAATCATACACAGACAGTAATCATACACAGACAGTACACATACACAGACAGTACAGAGACACAGACAGTACACATACACGGACAGTACACATATACAGACAATCCACATACACAGAGAGTACAGATACACAGACAGTACACATACACGGACAGTACACATACACAGACAATACACATACACGGACAGTACAGATACATGGACAGTACACATACACGGACAGTACAGATACACGGACAGTACAGATACACAGACAGTTCACATACACGGACAGTACAGATACACGGACAGTACAGATACACGGACAGTACACATACACGGACAGTACAGATACACAGACAGTACACATACACAGACAGTACACATACACAGACAGTACAGATACACAGACAGTACACATACACAGAGAGTACACATACACGGACAGTACAGATACACGGACAGTACAGATACACAGACGGTAATCATACACAGACAGTACACATACACAGACAGTACACATACACGGACACTACACATACGCGGACAGTACACATACACAGACAGTACACATACACGGACAGTCCAGATACACAGACAGTACAGATACACAGACAGTAATTATACACAAACAGTAATCATACACAGACAGTACACATACACAGACAGTACACATACAAGGACAGTACAGATACACGGACACTACACATACACGGACAGTACACATACACAGACAGTACACATACACGGACAGTCCAGATACACAGACAGTACAGATACACAGACAGTAATTATACACAAACAGTAATCATACACAGACAGTACACATACACAGACAGTACACATACAAGGACAGTACAGATACACGGACACTACACATACACGGACAGTACACATACACAGACAGTACACATACACGGACAGTCCAGATACACAGACAGTACAGATACACAGACAGTAATCATACACAGACAGTAATCATACACAGAGAGTACACATACACAGACAGTACAGATACACATACAGTACACATAGACGGACAGTACACAGACACGGACAATACACATACATGGACAATACACAGACAGTACGCATACGTGGACAATACACAGACAGTACAGATACACAGACAATACACATACACAGACAATGCAGATACACGGACAGTGCACATACGTGGACAGTACAAATACGCGGACAGTACAAATACGTGGACAGTACACATACACAGACAGTACAGATACACGGACAGTGCAGATACGC